AAAATGAACTGTGAGATCTTGTCCTCAGGGATCATCCAATCTGGGACCTTGTTGTCAGCTATGTCAAGGACACTCTGCTAGCACCCTGGATTCCTTCATGCATCGTCCTTCCCTCCACAGCCCATGCCAGATGCTAACACTGAATTGGCTACAACCCATGCATTGCAGGATGTTGAGGACCACTTCTCCTGTGGTCCTAATGCTTTGTAAGTCTTTCCTAATCTAATAGGACACTAAGTAGGAGTTTTCTTATTGATAACCAAGGCCAAGGGGAAGACGAAAAGTCACCAGGACCATACATTCTAAAGAAAAACAACAAACTCCCCTACACTAATGGCTTACTAAGAAGCAACCAAAGGGGCTCTGTTGCCAGAAACCACTGGCTAGCTTGCAGACTTACTTCGCAGAATGGAGAAAGATTCTGGAATATCACTGGCTTTCTAAGGAGCACCGTGTCTAGGTGAGAATCCCTCCAACTCTGCTATGGAGTCAGGAACTCAGAGAAGGGGAGAGCTGCATGAAGGGGAGATTGCATTCTCTGCCCTCCACCTCCCCCGCCCACTCTCCCACCTGCTCTATAGTGGGTGGGGTTGATGGGTTTCACAGCTTCACAAGTGAATGCAATAGTTCCTTAAATATGTCACTGAAATTTATATTTCTAGGTATGAAAGGAAAGAAATGTGATTTAACCTATGGGCCCTTTGAGGTCAAGTGTAATTTCTTTCTTATACATTTCTAGACATCAATTTTTTAAAAGTGACACTATGAGAAAGCTATTTTAAATTAGATGGTCTATATTAAATAGTTATAAATTTTAAAATGTTGGTTTTCTGGTGAGATCAAATAGTTTGTTACTTCCAGCAAATGCATCAACTGTTTTTTTAAATGGAAATTTCTAATTTAGTTTTTAAATTAAATTATATATGGAAAAATTCATTGTTCCTGATATACCATTCTGAGTTTTGACAAATACACATGGTCATGTAACCATCAAATCAAGATGCAAAACCATTCTGTGACCATCCCCACATTTCTTTGTGCTGCCCTGAGGAATTTTCTTTATGGCACGTAAGATACTGCCTGTTTTCTGACAAGGCAATTTGCTTTAAAGACAAACTCGGGCTTATGTACAGTTGGCAAGTGAAGCAAAATATCCCATAGAGAGTATCAGTGATTCAGAAGAAAGTAGTATCTTTGACTTTATTAGTTTGGATAATGACATATGCCTTCACATAAGAGGTGCTCTAAGCATGTCTATCTTTGAATTCTTCAAGGATAAAGTTCATTGGCTGACCATGGTTTTCTTTTCCTTTTTTTTTTTTTTAAGATTTTGTTTATTTTTTTTGAGAGAGAGAGAGAGCACAAGCAGGGGGAGGGGCAGAGAGAGAGGGAGAGGCAGACTCCCTGCGGAGCAGGGAGCCTGCCCTGGGGCTCCATCCCAGGACACTGAGATCATGACCTGAGCTGAAGGCAGATGCCTAACTGACTGAGCCACCCAGGTGCCCCTGACCATGGTTTTTCAACTGTACCCAACTACAAGATGTGATTACCAAACCTGCCTCTGATGATCAGGTTTATAGTTTCTTTCATTTCCTGGATATTGGGAATTGCCTGCTTCTACAGAATCCCACGGTCAATTCTCCTGCCTATATTGATCTCCATATATTTGATATTTTGCCTCCAGAACCTAACAGGATCTCCTAAGCACTATAAATTTTGGAATATTGGAGAGGAGACATAAATAAGCATGTATCAGCATTTTCCAGCAGGAGTTAATATTCAGAGCTTCTAAATGGACACAATAGGCACCATGTCAAAAGTTCACACATCACCAGTTCAAATACATTGTTCCTCTTGTATATGCCATGTGTGACAAGAGGTTCCACCACAGACTCTCAGAATATCTCATCTTGCAGAAGAGAAAATCACAATGAATTTTACTAATTAGTAAAGTAGAATTTCTTCACACATTCAGGACTCACATAGGGAGGTAAACCATGTTTGTAGACAAAAATTGATAAAAGTTAAAAAAATAGAAATTGTGGTTTCATTAACTTATAATTTTAATTTCATTCCCAAATGAAGAACTTCTGTAACTGAAAAAAATCATCCAATACATATATTTTATATGTGTGTTTATATTTAGATGTGTGTGTGGAAACCTGAGTATTTCAGAAGACATTCATTTGATGAGGTGTGGAGAAACAGTCATGTTTGTAATCTATCTTTTTCATAGTAAAAGACTATAAGGATGCTGGAAGTAATTTGCTCTTACCTATAAAATTTAAACTGCATATATTATTTGACTCAAAATGCAACTTCTAAAAGTCTAGATACAATTGAATGAGCATATAATGACCTGTACAATCATGTTCAATACAACATTGCTAGCAAAAGTATTTAATAACACCTTAAAAGGAATTGTGTATACTTATATGTGTATATACTTATTATTTATTATGATTATGTATATACTTATATGAAGATATACCATTGACTGTTAAATAAAAAAAGATAGTTACAGAGAAATGTCTTTATTTATTCTTCTGTTCCTATTTTTATCTATCCATCTATCATCTATCTATAGCTATCTATTACCTATCATCTTAAAGGTCAATATCTTCAAATCTTTCTCAGCTCTGTCTTCATAAGGCCTTCTTCTTTGTGTGTCTGCATCAAATTTCCTTCTGTCTCTCTTTTATAAAAATACTTGTGATGACATTTAGGGCTCGCCTAGATAATTTAGGTATATAGATATGTATACATAGATATACACATATGTATATGTACTGTGTGTAGTATATATATGTATATAACATAGTATATAAACATATACTGTGTATGTGTGTATATGTACTTAAGTATATGTGCATTTATATATGTGTAGATGTAACATTAATACATATTATTACATATATAATATATGTGTTATATGTGTGTTATTACATATATAGGTACATATACAGATATATACATGCATATAGGTACACATACATGGACACACGTATATATACATAATGTATATATCTATATATACACATATGTATATATTTGTGTGAGATTTTAATATAGTTGGATATTAAATATCTGTACATTTATGCTTATTTTCAACCATTTATGCATATTAAACATTTTCAAGGAAGATAGATATGCATTAAATAATCCATACATTTAACATTCTCTTTCATGGTTAATTTAAAAACTTGTGACCTGTTGTGCAACATAGGGAGTGTCTCCTGCTCTTAACTTCTGCTAATCAATACATGTAAGAGAACTTCAGTTTAATTTCTCCACAAATGTGCCAAAAGGATTTGCCTGCATGAATATCTCTGATGGTGTCTATGTAAATATTTCAAAGGACTAATGTAAACACAATAGTCACTTTATTATGATAAAGGAACATTTTTTGCACTTACCAGATTTTGTACCCTCCCATTAAGTTGGCATGGAACAGTGCTAGATTCAAGGATTCTTTTCTAAATCTTGGCTTTCTTCACTGATTAAAAAAAAAAAAAAGCAGGTTAGATTAGTGTGACAAATATAAGTCTGACACACAACCTATGTACAGACTTTTAATATTTTATCCTTAATATTTATGGCAAGCCTATGAGACAGAAATTATTCTCACATTTAAAATTAGGAAATTGTGGATTAAGGTCTGAATATTGTGTCAAGGTTACTCAGTGGTAGATGGGATTTGAATTTAGGACTTTCACCTGCCAGATCTCTTACCACTGAGCCAGACTGCAAAGCAGATTAGTTAAACAGCTCTGATTAAATCTCTTCCTACTTCAAACCCTGTAGGGTCTTCCACTTCACTTTGAGGTAAAGATCAAATTATCCATCATACAATTCAGGGCACACACTGTCCTCTAGCCCAGGTCCCCAAAGTGGGCCATTCCAATGCTCATCTAGGAACTTTTTTGAACATTTCAGGTTGTACTATAGTTTTACAAGATGTTCCCATTAGGAGAAACTGGTTAACAGGAACATGAGAACTCCCTGCATTAGTCCTTAAGGTTTTAAGAGAATCTCCATTGATCTCAAAATAAAAAGGTTAATACAAATCAAATCTCCAATTAAGTCCTGTGTGCTTCCGGCGTTGCAAAATGCTTAAGAGTCCAAGTTATAATTCCAATTACAATTCCCAAAACTCTTTCTTCTCTTCTTCTTTTGATTCTCCTTTCCTTCCCAACTCAATAGCTTGGAAAGATTTCACATCTCTTCTCTATCTTGGTTTCAGAGCACTATTACCACCTTTCCTCCCCATACTTCTGGATACATCTGATCAAACTATCCCAAATTTGCTGCTTAGAGATCTACTGATAATACATTTGTGAGGCATCTCTCACAGCTATTTTAGAGCCTCTAGGCAGAACACAGAGTACCTCAGCATCTTATCTGCCATGAGCCATCTCACCCCCATAAGCTCCTCACCATCAGATCGATAAAGGAGATTCCTCAGCTGGGTGGAAATAGTTGAGAAGTAAAGTGAACTGAACAGGCACCATCTCTAGAGCTGTAGATCCCTCTCGCCACTGTCTTCTCTGTGTCAGGTGGAAGGGACTCTGTGAAGGTAGCTGTGGTGTGGAGTTTGATGGGAGGACTGCTGTAGGTCAGTCCTTCCTGAAATAATGGTTTCTATTTTCTGATGCAGTCAAATGCTCTGATGAAAAACTTCAGATTCCGAAGTGCATATTTCCATAAATGCAGCCTGGCTCCTTGTGGGCTGAGCCAAGGGTTGGGAGAGTAAACAGCTCCTACTTAAATATACACAGAGGACTTGCCTGGTGTTCCTTTCAAGTCCATACAAGGTCTTCTGTTACCATGTATGTCTTGTTGACACTGTGTGTTGGGGGAAGGAAAAAGGGAATAGTCCACACCAAGTAGGAATCTAGGAAAGTGGAAAAGCTTCTTCACCTATAAGAAAGTTTCATTTGGAAATGGGCAGATTGTCCCTGTACCATATGTTATAACGTCTCTATGGGTTTCTTCCACAGACTTGGTAAAATGTCTTTCTTCTTGACATGGATCAAAGCTGTTTTTATCATTGCCTTGGCATTTCCTCATTATTCTGGTGAGTACATTTTTCAGTCCTGGATGAAGCATTTCCCATATCTTAGAAATGCAGCAAACAACTGCTATTATCTAGAAATGGAGGAGTTTGATTTATAGGATTTATAAATCTTAAACTGGCAAAATGAAACAGAGTATGTTAGAAATACCTTTTAAAATTGCATCAGTGGGTTGCCTAATCTCATTTCCCACCTTAGAGAGTTGGAGACAAAGATGTGGGTTAGGATGAGCAGTACTCAGAATGAACTTGTCTTTTTGTTCATCTATGACTAAAGATATTTACTTTTTTTTTTTCTTTTCGGAGTTCAGATTCCACAGTTGCTAAATGCAGAGTGTGGAAAGTAATGATGTCTTCTATGTCTGACATTCCTTGAAAATCTGATTTGTTGTTCGCCACCTCTGAGTCAAGGCGTTGTATAAGGAAAGAATTCATTTATTCCTCTGCAAACAACCTTACGCTCCTTAAAGCCCAAGGTGGCCCATGAATTTCAGAATAAAGTACCTGTGAGGTAGTGGATAGATCCCTGATATGAGACCTGAATACTAATTAATTAAATAATAATTAATTTCTTCATATTAAGTGACTTTTTGCGAGGCATATGAGTGACACTAAGCAAACCATTGTCTTTTCCAACTAAGATGTCTCATTTATAAAAATGGAAAAAAAATCACAACTATAGTATCTTACAGGAGTGTTTGATGATTATTAAATAATACATAAGATAATTTTCACAGAACGAGATTAATTTGGAATTCTCTTTCTACATCTGAATATATTTTGTGAACTTACTGTTTTGATACTACTATAAAAGGCTCATATCATTATTTGCAGGGTCCTGATTAGGCAATTTGTGTAATATTTTGCTACTAAGAGATGTGGGTACTTTTCACCAGAGACTCTGATGGTTTTCCCCTCTTCCTCTTCTTATTTTTAATGTGTGTTTGTGGCGGTTGGTTGCAGAAACTTCTTTTGAACCTTTATCAGAAATTCGTCAAGTGGTAAGTTAATACTGATTACTTCAGGAATTGAAATGGTAAGCCTTTAATTTTTTTATATTGTAAGTTTTAACAGCAAATTTCCCTCTGTACAACAGAATGATCCTTCAAAAGTAACAAACAAACAGTTTTATTATTACGCTAAGTTCAAGAAACAGAATCTTGCCAGACATACAAAATCATTTGGCATTAAAGACAAGGTAAAAATATCCCATTACTAAAAAATTCCATTACTAGTTATAGCTTTGTTATAGACAAGTGTCTGTTATGGATTAAGGGGTGTTTAAAGTAGAATTGTTTATCTTAGCAAAACAAGAGGATTAAAAAAGCAACAACCCAATTTTTCACTAAATGGTAGATAAAATAATAATTGTCATACATTCACAGAATCAATTATTACATCAAGGTGATGAAAATGAACTATAGGTCTAAACATGTGAATAGATAAAAGTTATAAAGACATTTAAAAAGCAGGTTATGTAAGAATACACACGTTTATTTACATAAATAACCAACACTGTCATCATTAAGCAAATTACATACATATCTATATGGTTATATACACATATACAAACACTCATATGTATGAATTCATACAAGTGTGGTAATAATCTGAAACTAACAGATTATGTAGTAGTAAAACTATTGAGAAAGACAAGGGAGTTATTAAAAATTGTTTTATGATTTCTTGTGGTATGAAATATAGGTGACTTTTAAACTGCATGGGTCCACTTATACACAGATTGTTTTACAGGACAGTACAATCTTCCTTATGATTTTCTTTTTTTTTTTTTTTTTTAAGATTTTATTTATTTATTTGACAGAGAGAGAGACACAGCGGGAGAGGGAACACAAGCAGGGGGAGTGGGAGAGGGAGAAGCAGGCTTCCCGCCAAGCAGGGAGCCCGATGTGGGGCTCTATCCCAGGACCCTGGGACCGTGACCTGAGCCAAAGGCAGACGTTCAACAGCTGAGCCATCCAGGCACCCCTTTCCTTATGATTTTCTTAATATTTTCTTTTCTCTAGGTTTATTGTAAGAACACCCTATATAATACATATAGAAAATATTTGTTAATTGACTGTTCATGTTGTCATAAAGCTTCTGGTCAACAGTAAGGTATTGGTATTTAAGTTTTGGGGGAGTCAAAAGTTATATGTGAATTTTCAACTGTGTAGGGTGGGAAGGTCCATACCTCTAAGACCCTCACTGATCAAGGGTCAACTGAGGAAAATCTGACCCTAGTGTGAGGAGAAGTGGAGGCAGAGTGTCTAAATTATAAAAACACATTTAGCCATTTGTATGTTTTAAAAAAAAAAATAATGTTGGGTTTGTAAAAATATACTAAAAATATTTTATGTGTAAGTGGACTGTGGGTACCTTGATACTTATTTTTAAACCTCAATATAGAATATATTTATTCCATTTTAATGCATGGCATTTTGTATTAAGATAAGGGACATTTTATTTAAAAGTTCATTACTTGATACATTTTATGTTGTCTCTTTGTGTTCAACAGCCAAGCTGTGATGTGTATATACATCAATTACATTTTTGCCCAAGAGAAAAGGATCCAGTCTGTGCAACCAATGGCCAAACTTATTCCAATACATGCGTTTTCTGCAGCGAACAATTGTAAGAACACAAGACTAAATATGGCTCTTCCAAAATAATGAAGAAACCATCATAAAATGATAGGAAAACCCATGTTTTTGATAGCCTAGGCACAGTATATCCAGAAAATAACTACTCTCTCTGTAAAAGCCACAGAAACACACTTGTACCTTTCCCTGAAGTTCTCATTTCTAGAAGCAGTTTTATATTTGACCTCTCAAATATAACTCTGTGGATATTCTGAAAATGTATAAGTCAATTAGTTGAACTTAATTGAATTATTATGATTTACTAATGACAGTCTAGTCACTGATATAATTCCAAAGTCCAGATGATAAGTGGTAGTCTCCATGATGTAGCTGCAAGCTAACTTGGGCATTATTGAGCAAGAAATCCTACTGCTACAGAACTCTGAAATCATCACAATGGGCCCATTCCTGCTAAGAAGGGCTCCTCTGATGCTCCGCTCTGTCTCTTGAACTCCATGACACACTCCAAACCTTTCTTAGAAGCAAGGCATTCTGGAACCTTCCATGTAAACTCCCTTCCTGTATCCTTCACTCAAAAGGAGTTTGCAGTCTTCAAGTGTGGTCAATTTTTCTGAGTCACCATTTTCTATCACAGATATTTCCTCTTCTTTAATCTGAAAATCTCTAATCGTCTCCTGTCTCAGGTCTGTGCAGGTTCCAAGATTGAATCAGGACTGCGTGTGTAGGAAGAGCTAAACTGTCTCAGGTGTGGGGGGAACATGTGCAGTGCAGCAGAGCAAGCAAAGCCCCCTGCTTGTGGCAGAGCTTCTACACATCATCCCATTTTTAAATTCTCCTCGTTGAGGAGCACTTAGTGCAATACCTAGAAATTTTAAATAATTTCTTTTTCTTTCTCTTTTTCTTTCTTTACAGTGAAAGTGGTGGAGCATTTGAGTTTGGTTATTATGGTAGATGCTGATTTTGCCTAAGCTACACATTCCTATGGCTTTTATTGTGATCCAATTTTGTGGTAGATTCTACAACCAATTAGAACTCCCTCATTCAGGGTTTTAAATTCCTAGATAACCGAAGACTTCTATGGTATTAAGATGGAATATCGGATGTTGAAGAATTTTCCTAAGACCCTATGATTGAAAGATTTTTCTTTTCTATGTCCAATTATTCAAAGACAATTGAAAAATTATCTTAATTGTGTGTTTCTTAACATAAAATCTAATGCAATTTAAAATCATAAATATTTCAATGAACACAATGTTCAATAATATTATCCTTTTAAAATACCCTTTCTTTCTTTGGTTGGTTAGTGGGTGAAAGACATGAATACTTTTGGTAACTATAATTAAAGAAATATTTTCAAAGGTGAACAAATAATACATTACTTGTGTATTTATTAAAAATACAGACACTTGGGCTCCTCTTTATCCGAAACAATCAAAACCTCTAGGAGAGGGATCTGGGAACTTGATTCTAAAATGTACTCCAGGTTAATCTTACAATTACAAATGTCAGGCAATATGCACTTAAATTCTAAAACATGGGTCTGTCTATCATTGAATGACTTGGAGAATCTGTTCAAAGATATTGTAAGATTTCTTAGATTTGGAAGAAAAATTATATTATTTCCTTTTTCTCTCATGAATCATTAAAGAGAAAAGTTGGTGATCTTGGGGTGCCAGGCAACTCCACCTTCATCAGGGCAGTCTATCCGTTTGTGGTCCAAGTCCAGTGATTCTCCATTTCTTTCATCTCTCAGCCAACAAGAAACAAGCTTTATTTGGATGGTCATATGTTCATTTGAAGCTTGATTTTAATGGCAGAAATGCAGACTGATTACAAGAAGACAAGTATCAATCTGCTACATTAACAGGCCTGCTCTCCTTTTCACTAAACACTTCCACCTCTAAAAGAGTGATCTATGTGGGAGTTACATATTCATTTACATCTTTAGTATTGATTTTTAATGAAGGTACTGGCATTTAGATTTTTTATCCATTAGAATGTAGACATTAGAGCCACATTATAAAAATGTATTCAGCCACTTTCATAGCCTTTTTCATAATAGAGGACATGTATAAAAAACATTCAGTGAATGCTGGTAAATTTATACATGTATTGCTTTCCCTTTTATTTAACATATTTTTTTTTAAAAATCACTACTATATGTTAAGCCCCATATTAATGGTAGGGAAAAGTTGCTAAGGAAAGCAGATACTACTACTGTCTTCTAGGAACTTTGGGTAGACTACTGGAAGTTAGTATCCATCAACGATGGGAATTCCATCTCTCCGCATGACTGTTTTCTACACAAGCTTTGTGGATCAACTTCCCACATCCCTTCAGTTATGTAACTTAATTCTTAAAGGAATCTTATTAGATGGACATCAGCTCTGTATTTTAGCCATAATGAAAGTGGAACACAGGAAACTGAACATTTAAAATCTGACACTTGATAAGGAAAATACAGTGTTTTCTTGAATTGGGATAAAGTTCACAAAACTTAAAATTTGCCATTTTGAAGCATAAGATTACATATTTTTTCATATACATTCATTTACAGTGTTGTACAACCGTCACTACTATTCCAACATGTTTCCATCATCTACCCCCTCCTCCAAAAAACAACTACATACTTCCCAATTCCCCACCTATCAATTCCTGGCAGCCATTAAACTATTTTTTATCTCTATGAATTTGCCTATTTGGACATTTCACATACATGGAATCCTACAATATATGTATGATTTTCACGTGAAAGTAAATCTACTCATCTATTTATCATATGTTGTCTTTTGTGAATGATTTCCTGAACTTAGCACGGTGTTTTCAAAGTTTAACCACATTGTAGCATGTATCAGTACTTCTTTCCTTTTTATGACTGAGGAATATACCATCTTGTGGCTATACCACACTTTGTTTATCCATTTGTCAGTTTATAGACATTTGGATTGTATCTACTTACTGGCTTTTATGAATAATGCAACTCTGAACATTCTTGTGCAAGTTTTGGTGTGACCATATGTTTTCATTTCTCATGGACATACACCTGCAAGTGGAATTTCATTTGATAACTATCTTTCACACTTTTCAGAAAATGACAAACTGTTTTCCATAGTGGGCACACCCTTTCACATTCCTAGCAGGATTTCGTGAAGGTTCCAATGTTTCCACATCTTCACCAAAATCACAATTGTTTATTTTTTAAAAATTATATTCATCCCTGGGCACCTGGGTGGCTCAGTCAGTTAAGCGTCTGCCTTTGGCTCAGGTCATGATCCCAGAGTCCTGGGATGGAGTCCCACATCAGGCTCCCTGCTCCATGGGGAGCCCGTTTCTCCCTCTGCCTCTCTCTCTCATGAATAAATAATATCTTTAAAAAATTATATTCATCCTAGTAGATGTGAAGTAGTATTTAATTGTGACTTGATCTGCATTTCCCTTATGATTAACAGTGTTGAACACCTTTTCACATGCTTATTGGACATTTGTGTATCTTCTTTGGAGAAATGTCTATTCAAATCCTTTGCCCATTTTTAAATTAGATTTTTGTCTTTTTTATTTTTGAATTGGTATTGTTCTTTATATAGTCTAGAGAGTAGAGTAAGCACATTGACTTACAAATGTGCCTTTATTCCATTTTGGGGTTGTCTTTTTTAATTTTCTTGATAGTGTCCTTTGATGCAACAATTTCTTTTTAATTTCATGAATTCCAGTGTATTTATTTTTTCCTTTGTTGCTTGTGCTTTGGTGTTATATGTAAGAATTGCTACCTAATCCCAGTTCGTGAAGATTTGCAACTAGGCTTCCTTCTAAGAGTTTCATAGTATTAGTACTGGCATTTAGATTTTTTATCCATTTTGAGTTCATTTTTATATATTGAATGAATCATGGGTACAGTTATACTTTTGCATGTGGCTATCCAGTTGTCACAGCACCATTTGTTGATAAGACTAATCTTTTGGCTTTTAATTTTCCTGGAACTCTTTTTTTTATTTTTTTAAATTTATGTTATGTTAATCACCATACATTACATCATTAGTTTTTGATGTAGTGTTCCATGATTCATTGTTTGCGTATAACACCCAGTGCTCCATGCAGGACGTGCCCTCTTTAATACCCATCACCAGGCTAACCCATCCCCGCACTCCCCTCCCCTCTAGAACCCTCAGTTTGTTTCTCAGAGTCCATAGTCTCTCATGGTTCGTCTCCCCCACCGATTTTCCCCCCTTCATTTTTCCTTCCTGCTATCTTCTTCTTCCTTTTTTTTTTTTAACATTCCATTAATTTTTTATTTCTTTTCTGATTTCTTGGTTGACTCATTCATTGTTTAGTAGCATGTTATTTAACCTCCATGAATTTGGGGTCTTTCCAGATTTTTTTCTTATGGTTGATTTCTAGAATTGTAGTCAGAAAAGTTGTGAGATATGACTTCAATCTTTTCGAATTTGTTGAAACTTGTTTCGTGGTCTAACATGTGATCTATTCGGAGAATGTATCATGTGCAGTTGAATAGAATATGTATTCTGTTGTTTTAGGATGAAATGTTCTGAATATGTCTGTTAAATCCATCTGTTCCAGTGTGTCATTCAAAGTCACTTTCCTTGTTGATTTTTTGCTTAGATGATCTATTGGTGTAAATGGGGTGTTAAAGTCTTCTACTATTATTGTATTAGTATTGATTAGTTCCTTTATGTTTGTTACTGTTTTATGTATTTGGGTGCAAAATGTTTACAATTGTTATATCTTCTTGTTGGATTGTCCCCCTTTATTATTGTCTAGAGTCCTTTATCTTTTGTTTTAAAGTCAATTTTGTCTGATATAAAGATTGCTACCCTGGCTTTCTTTTGACATGCATCTGAATGATAAGTGTTTCTCCATCCCCTCACTTTCAATCTGCAGGTGACTTTAGGTCCAAAATGAATCTCTTGTAGGCAGCATATAGATGGATCTTATTTTTTTAATCCACTTTGTCACCCTATGTCTTTTGATTAGAGCATTTAGTCTATTTACATTCAAAGTAATTATTGATATGTA